TATCACTGCGCACTCAAAGTAACAGGTTAGCTTTTGCACGTTCCGTTAGTTGACATCTTAGCTTTTAGCTCGGTGGCGATTGCCCAAAAAAAAGACCCGGAAATCCCTCAAAGTGTCAAGCAATGCCAGCTTTCGCAAGCGGACAATTAAGGTAAAAGCAATAAAGTACTTGAGGGTGTACTTTGTCGTCCAATAATGTAACTGTTGGGGGTGTTGTTATTAATGAAGTCGTCTCTTTCAGTCTTACCAGTATTTGAGGAGCAAAAATGTTCAGTCGTATTGAAGTCCTGGGTCCAGTGAACCTGGTTGCTATGGTTACAGATGATCACGTTGTGCAACAGGTAGACCTGGAGAGAAGCCCCAGAGGTCGTGACCTCTGGTCGCTCTCTTCCCCCTTGAATGCAGACCCGGTCGACACATCTGAAAGTGCTGCTGATGTGAGCGTTGTGAGTCCTGCAGGTCACATGGAGGTCACATGACTCTGAGCTGCTGGAGTCCACTCGGTCCACGATCAGTTCAACTGGAGACACTGGTCCTGAGGGGGGGGGAGGTTTCTGTGAAGAGTTTATGAAACATGGCGGCAGAAACTATCAGTGAAATGTTTACAGACTCACCTTGAACTGTGACCTTATATTCAGTCAGTAGTTTGTCTCCTTCAAGTGTTCCTGCTACAGCAGAATAAAGTCCACTGTCGACCTCTTGTACATTCTTCAATATCACAGAGAATTTATTCTCACCTGACTGAACCCTTCCAGTGACATTATGAATGACAGTTGGTTTCCCACTAGGATCAAATCTTACTAAAGTGACTGTTTTATTGATTTTCCAGTTAACAAGTAAAAACTTCTCAGGAAGATCAGCCTGAAGCTTGAGGAGCAGATCACGTCCCTTCAGCACAAACACAGGAGTCACAATGGTTCCTGTAAAAACAGTAGACACATGATACAATAAACATCACACACAATATGTGATGAATCATTCACTGCTGAATGTTCCTCCATCACTACACTTTATTTATTACACATTGAACCAGCGGTTCACCTTCAGCTCATCACTGCTTAACATGAAGTGACAGAAGTCTCTTCAAATGTCTCACGTCGTCTCTTCCTGAGGACACAGAGAAGCTTAACAGCAGAAACTAAACCCACTGAGAGCAAGTTGCTGCTCAAAGTTCTTCTTCTTGACGTGACAAAGTATTTCCATTCTGTCTCTTTGTCCTCTGTCCCTCCGTCTCACCACACTAATGTCCCCCAGCATCAGCTACACTGAACATGGACGACTTTAGAAAATAAGACGTCCACAGACTGAACGCTGAAGGAGTTAAACTCTGAGAGGAGTAAAGGTCAACATTTGTCTTGGAGGGAAAGAAGCGTTCAGCCCGTTTCAACAAGTGGTGAGAAAGTGTCTAAAAGCACCTGAATGTTTCCTCTGAATCACACACGTCTTCTGTTGGAACACTCAGAATATTCATTGAATACAACGTGGAGATTACGGAAGATTTTTAAATGAAAATAGTAAACTCATACTGAGACTATTTCCTGCCTCTGAGCTCAGTACAAGAAGGAACAACACGAATCCTGATTAACCACAAAGAAACACAGAAAGATTCAAAAATATGTTTCTAACTCAACTTCTATTGTAGAAATAGTGCTGCGGTATAAAAGCTTTGACCTTGAAAACGACAACAAAATATATATAAAATCAAGTCCTCACCTTGTGCTTCACATAATGTCAGCAGAGAAACAAAGAGAAGCTCGACGCACGACTTCATTCTGCAGAATGAAAGTATGATGATGAAACGAGTGGAGAACGTTTTACTTCCCTTCAAAGCAACAACCAATTACTTCAAAGATTGTTAAAATGAAGCCATATATGTCTCTGTGTGGTTGACTTGTAACTACCGTCACATCATGACGTGGGCTCATATTTTATTATTAATGGTCTCTTCACAACATCAGCTCCGACTGCTCGTCTGTAGGAACTCTGTACGGCCACCAAACAAAACACTTTATTTAATTAAACCAGAGAAATGTGTCCTTCTGCACTTTAAACACTATAAACGTTCCACAGCTTGATGTTAATTCAATCTGTAGGAGCGGTCGGTAAAATCAACGCGCATTTGCTCGTATTGTCACTTCAAAATTCTTTATTTATTGTTCGGCAAAAACAACCTAAATCACAATCAAAATAAATGAGAATTCAATGCGTAATGCGTAATGCGTAATGCGGTCAAAAATAATATCTCCTTCCGCTCTCGAAATAGAAAAACACACCTGGCCTTACTCAGGTGACATTTAAATAGCCGACGCCCCCTGACGTCATCATTACATCATCACAAATCAATCAAATCAACAGAAAAGGCAGTTTCATTGTGCACGATACAAATGTAGTGGAATGGCTTCTACACTCCGGCCCCTAATTGACCGGTAGAGGACAATTCATACATTTAAACATATGAAGCACATTCTTTAGAGTCCTTTGTCTCGTGTCCATAGAATTAAGAAAAAAGGCCAAAAATATAATCCATTTAGTTTCGATAGTCCTTTTTGTAAAACGGGTTCAAAAAATTCCTGAGAAAGGGAAAATGAGTTCTCTCAAGGGTCGAAGAAAAGGGGGCAAAGTCTATTCGAGGATCTAATCAGGGCATGTTTTGTAGGAGGCACAGCTTTGTGATGGGCCTTTCCAAGGTGCCATTTTGTGTCCTGATCTTGACACGACGTACATGTCCCCTTTTGTCGGGAAAGGTTTCCGTGATTCGGCCCATAGGCCAGGAGTTGCGTGGTGAGCTTTCATCGATGATCAGCACTATGTCTCCATACTTTAGGTTCCTTTTGATCTTATTCCATTTCTGTCTCTCCTGTAGCAATGGGAGGTACTCTCGTATCCAGCGTTTCCAGAAGAGATCCGCTATATACTGAGTCTGCTTCCATCTTCGTCTGGAATAGGTATCACTTTTGTCGAAGAGTCCAGGTGGAAGAGTCGGCATTCGCTTCATTTGAAGCAGGTGGTTGGGTGTCAGAGGTTCTGGATCTTTGGCATCCTGGGATAAGACTGTGATGGGCCGGTCATTCATGATTGCCTCTACTTCACATAGAGCTGTTTGGAGACTCTCGTCATCCAGGATCTGTTCCCTTGTGATGGAGTAGAGGTTCTTTTTTATCATCCGGATGAGTCGTTCCCATACGCCTCCATGATGAGCACCATAAGGGGGGTTGAATGTCCATTTGATACCTTCAGCGTGCATCGAATGCTGGATCTTGCTGAGGTCAAGGTGTGTAAGTGCTTCTCGAAGCTCTCGTTCAGTCCCGACAAAATTAGTACCGTTATCGGAAACAATTTCTTTCACTTGGCCTCGTCTGCAGATGAATCTTCGCAGTGCAGAAATACATGAGTCTGTATCCATTGAGTAGGCCATCTCCAGAAGTACTGCTCTGCTTGCTAGGCACGTAAACAAGGCTCCATACCGTTTTACTTTGCTGCGGCCGCGCTTGACTTCTATGGGCCCGAAGTAGTCTAGTCCTGTATGGGTGAAGGGCGGCAAATCAGGTGTTATCCTGTGTAGCGGTAGGTCGGACATTTTTTGTGTTATTGCTGTGCCATGCCATCTCCTGCAAAGTACACAGTCCCTTGTGATCTTTCTTGCAGCAGAATTTACTCTTAGAATCCAGTATTTTGTCCTGAGTTTTGCGATAAGTTGATTTCTTCCACAATGAGCCATCGAGGTGTGGGTGTGGTGTAGGAGTATCTTTGACAGGTGGTTGTCTTTGGGTAGAATAGCAGGATGTTTGGTTTCCTCTGGCATTGCCAGCTTACTTAGTCTGCCTCCGACTCTCAGGATTCCATGTTGGAGGATAGGATCTAGTCTATAGATCCTACTGTTTCTCTTTATGGGTAAGCCCCTTTGTAGAGAGGTCACTTCATCTTTGAAGGATTGTTGTTGGACATAAGACACAAGTGATTTCTCTGCCTTGGCTAAATCCTCCACGGACAGCTGCGACCCGGTTGGGTAGGCGTTACTAGTTTTCTTTCGTCTCAGAGTTTCTTTGAATTTTAAGATCCAGGCTGATGATCGGATCAATTTGTTCCATGATGAGAAGTGCTCAATAAAACGAGTCAGTGGCCTTTCCTTCTGCAGTATACTTGTAGTGAAAGCCATGGCCACCTTCTTGACCTCCGGGTCACTGTCATACAGCGTGGGTGGTACTTGAATCACTGGCCAGTCAGTTTCTGGTTGCATCAGGAAATTTGGACCACTCAGCCAATGTCCTTCTTGAATGAACTTCTCGGTTTTTATGCCTCTTGATGCCATGTCTGCGGGGTTGAGTTCTGTCTTTATGTGGCGCCATTGGAATTTGTGTGTCAGTTCCCGAATAGTGGACACTCTGTTGGCTACATAGGTTTGAAACCTTCTGGCGTCATTTTGGATGTATTTTAAGACAGCGGTACTGTCGGTCCAAAAGACTGAGTCCTCGAGGGTTAACTCGAGCTCTCTCCTCAACATCCTGTCTATCCTAGCAGCGAGAACTGCACTAGCAAGCTCCAGACGTGGAGTTGTCACCACCTTTAAGGGTGCAACTCTTGATTTCCCAATCACAAACATTATGTTAGGTAGTCCAACTTTACTGCTAAGTTTCAAGTAGCTGACTGTCCCGTAACCTCGCTCACTTGCGTCGCAGAAGTGGTGCATCTGTGCTCTAGCAACTTCAAAATCTTGTGGCTTAAGACATCTCCTGATTCTTAGGCTGGAAATCAGGTTAAGATCTTTTAGCCATTCCGTCCATCTCTCTGTGTAAGCAGTTGGTATTGTTTCATCCCATCCACAATTTAGCTTGCACAGGTCCTGCAGTATTCCTTTCCCTGTCAGCATTACTGGCGCTATGAACCCTAGGGGGTCGTATACAGAGTTTAACACCGATAAAATGCTTCTGCGGGTTACTGATGGTTGTTTTGGGGCGATTGAAAAGAAGAAAGTGTCTGACTCAATGTCCCATCGCATGCCGAGGGCCCTTTCGATTGGCAGTTTGTCTTTGTCGAGGTCTAGATCTTTGACTTCCTTTGCTCTCTCTTCCACTGGAACAGAGGCAAGGACTGCACGACTGTTACTGGTCCATTTGGTGAGTTTAAATCCACCTGTGGTGCAGACTGATCGAAGCTCTTTCACCAGACGGATGGCTTGGCCCTCGTTTGGGACAGATTTCAGACAGTCGTCTACATAAAAGTTTCGACGAATGGTGTTTAGAGCATCAGTGCTATACTTTCCTTCGTTGTCATCAGCTGTCCACTTCAGTGCAAAATTGGCACAGCTCGGTGATGAGACTGCTCCGAAGAGATGCACCGTCATCCGGTATTCTGCTAGCGGTTGGTTGGTGTCGCCATCTGGCCACCACAGGAATCTGAGGAAGTCCACATCATGCTTTGGTATTCTTACTTGATGGAACATTCCTTCAATGTCCCCCATCACTGCCACTGGTTCCTGTCGGAATCTGAGAAGTACACCCAATAGTGTGTTCGTAAGGTCAGGACCCGGCAACAGCTCACGATTTAAGGAAGTTCCTTGGAATGAAGAGGTGCAGTCGAACACCACCCGGATAGTCTTTTTTCTTTTGTGGTAGACACCATGGTGAGGAATATACCACAGTCTTCCGTCTTTCCGGGAGAGTTGTTCCTCTGGCACTCTTTCTGCATGCCCTTTCCTCAAGACGTCACACATGAAGCCATGATAGTCTTTCCGAAAGGATTCGTCTTTCTGGAATCTACGGGCAAGATTCAATACTCTTTGTTCCGCCACCTTCCTGTTGTTTGGCATACTGATGTTATCGTGACGGAAAGGAAGTTGTATTTCGTAGTGGCCATCTTTCCTTTTGACTGAGCTGTTCATCACATGCAAGAATTTCTTGTCTTCAAATGAGTGCTCTTGTTTTTCATTGTAGGCAGACTCTGAAAAGTCCTGGTTGTATTGGTGTCTTAGAAGCTCTTCTAGCTTGGCTACTGATATTCTATTGGACGCTATCCGTGGTCGACCGTCCTCATCCATAGGTGCAGTGCTGCAGAGAGGTCCATTTATAGTCCAACCTAGGTATGTAAGGACTGCATAGGGCCCCTTGCCTTGGCTATTGATCACTCTCAGTGGTTCCATAGCCTGTGGGACATTTGTACCAATCAATAGGCCTACTTCTGCTTTGATGGGTTTTATGTGGACCTCATTTAAGTAAGGAATTCCTTTTATGTCCGTTTCTGTAGGGATGTTTTCTTGATTGACAGGAATGGCATGTTGTGTGAAGACTTCAGGAAGCTCTATGAAGCTGTTGCCTTCCAGGCTGCATACTTCCAGTCCCCTTATCACGTGGGTTTTCACAGGCTTTTCATGACCCATCGTTCGGAGTAAGATTTCGGTTTTCTTTCCTCTAACAGACAACTGTTCCATCAGTTTTTCTGTGATAAAGGTAGCAGTGCTTCCGGGATCTAGGAATGCATACGTCTCTATCAAACAGCTGCCTTTGTGTGCCTTTATTTTTACAGGTACCACTGCTAATCTATGATCTGTTGTTCTGCCCCACTTTTGTGCTGCTGATGACACCATAGCAATTTGTGCTGCAGAAGAAACCTTAGCCATACGATTACTCCTGGTGTCTGAATCCCACTTAGCTACCGGCCTATTGTTTCCTGGAGTAAAGTTATCTATATGTAAGACAGTGGGGTGTTTTTTCTCACAGGAACGACATGTGAGACGTTTCTTGCATTCTTTACTCATATGACCTTTGACCAAGCAGGCAAAGCAGAGTCCGTTTTTCTTTAGTAGCTCAACTTTCTCTTTGTGGGGAATCTTTGTTATCATTTCACATGTTTCCATCACATGATCTCCGTTACAGAAAGCACAAGGTTTGATGAAGGCGTCCATGGGTTTACGGATGCCCTCTGGCCTCTCCGGCCTCTCCTGTGCATTAGTGTTCATGTGGGTATCGGTCTTGGGCATGACAGTTGTAGCAAAGCTTTTCTTG